GCCTCTGCGCATGACCAAAATGTTCTTGCATTCCCAGAAGCAGGCTTTGCGAGCCGCGTTGGTGGTATAGTGGTGAGCATAGCTGCCTTCCAAGCAGTTGACCCGGGTTCGATTCCCGGCCAACGCAGAAAACTCTTAACTTTTTTGGCTCCCTCTGTGTTTTGATTTCCACTTCTGTTTTCTCCACCCCACCCCACCCCACCCCCTCCTCTTTCTCTCTCAATCTCAACCTTGGGAGTTCCACCTTTTGCAACCAAACGCCAGCCAGCGGTGGAAACAATGGGAGCCTTTCCAGCTTTGGAAAGAGGCACCGGTTTTTATTGCAAAAGAACAAGCTGAGAGCAGAAAAGAGAAAAACCACATTTTCCCCCTAGCAAAATAAGTGGGGAGAACTCTTAACCGGGAGACGTTCCTGGACTCAGCTGTCCTGTTTCCAGCAGCCGCAGGGGCAAACAGGAACAATAAGTAGCAGCAATACCAACTACAATAGTCGGTTTCAAGCCCCGCCCCCCCGCGGATGCCGAAGAACGCAGAAATAAGGAACTTTTTTGCATTGCAGCGTCTCTACCTCCCTCTAGTGGCCAGTTATGGTAAATACACCCTGGAGAAACACATTACTATATACAGTACTTGCATTTCTTATTTAGTATTTTCAGGCAGTGGATAAATGATTCAGTGGATATTAGTCCCACAGATAAGGCGGTCCTACTGTATTATGATTATCAGGTGAACGTGGGCTTGCAATGCCTTGTACAGTGGGGTCTTGACTTGAGAACTTAATCCGTATTGGAAGGCGGTTCTCAAGTCAAAAAGTCTGTTAAGTCAAGTCTCCATTGACCTACAGTGCATTGAAAACCGATTAATCCCGTAACAGGCCGTTTTTGTTCCATTTTGGTTTTTTTCTGGTCTGTAAGTCAAATCTCAGTCTGCAAGTCAAACCTAAATTTTGCGGCCAGAGAAGTCTGTAACTCAAAAAGTCTGTAAGTCGAGCCGTCTGTAAGTCAAGGGTCCACTGTAATGAGGTCTGCCACCTTGGTTCCTTTTAAGGAGAAAAGCCAGGCAAAATTATTTTCAATCTATCGATTCGTTCTACCGTCAACACACTCCTCCTTTTCATGGTTTGGTCTGTTTAGAACGCTGACCTAAGAACCCATGCTTTGCAGATGCAGGAAGCTCGCAACTCGAACCCAGAGCTGGAACAAGCTACCTTGGGGGGACTACAGCAACCAGCATCCCCTACTCTGCAGAGTGCTGAGTGTTGTAGTCTGGAAAAAAAAAACTTTCCCAGAATCTCCAGATTCCACTCCTGCCCTCTTCTCTTCCACCGAGGGAGATCCCATCTTTTCTTTCTTGGCCTATTTAAACACCACCACCCCCGTTTTCCAGGAATGAAGAGGTTGCAAGGGGTCAGATTTCCCCCCCTCCCCCGTTTCCCAGGAATGAAGAGGTTGCAAGGGGTCAGATTTCACTGGCTACACATTTTCTTTTCTGATGGCCCGGGCAGGCGATGTTCGTCCATTGAGGTGCTGCCTTGGCAGGAAATATTTACTCCAACCTAGACCCGGGGGTGGTGGTGCTGGACTGGTCAGCATGCGGGGGACAGCATTTGGTCCTGGTTTCCCTTCCCACCAGGCAATGAGGGGTGGCCTCTCCCCCCACAGATAGACAGACAGACAGACAGACAGACAGACAGACAGACAGACAGACAGACAGACAGACAGACAGACAGACAGACAGACAGATAGATAGTTAGATATTCTGCAAGCATCGTTTTCTATTCCAGATGTTGGGAGCGACCACCTTTGCAAGCAATCCGGAAAGAACTAATTCTTGGTGAAAAGGGCTGCTATTAGGACTTGTCACTTCACTTATGTGGGGCAACAACACAGATGTAACTAGAAGTAGCTATTTGTTATTATTTTGGAGGAACTGGATAGCAGTCGGTTACTTTTGAAAACTGTAACAGCAGGAACTACAGTACCTGGAGAGAACAAGGGCGATGGGGGGGGAGCATTTTGCACCCCCAAAACAAGCTGCTACAGCAAATAGCATCTCATACTCGCCCAAATTTGGGTAATTGCTTTACAGTACAGTATTTATTTATTTATTTATTCATTTCAGCTATATTTACCCCACTTTTGTTTCCCTTAAAAGGACCCAAAGCACGAGATGTCTGAGAAAATCCCCGTCCGTCCCTCGGGTGCACGAGGCCCCTCCTGGACACGGCCATTGACAAACCGAAGGCCTTCGCTGTTTTAGGGTTTCCCTCACGCACCCACCCCCCCTTGAAGCAGCTGCTTCGCTGTGGCTCAAGACAGGGATGGAAGTAATTTCTTTTTTTTTTATAAAAAGGGAAGTTTGCAAGCTTCGGCCGAGTTTCGCTGGAGGTGTCCGATCGTGCGATCGTCCCGTGTAATTTTCGGGCCACTTCCTCTCTTGCAGGGGAAAAAAAGAGATTCACGCAGGGGTGGGGCCCCCCCTCTTCCTTCCTCCTGGTTTCGGACCCATCACGAGTCGGAGAGCCAGCCGTGACTTCAACCTCAGATGGTCTGAGAGAAGGGCCTTAAAATAGAATCCCACGCCTCTCATCATAGGACCCAAGTGGTGGTGGTGGTGGGGAGAGACAGCAACCTCAGAGCAGAGGCCTAGCAGTTTCCAAGACAAAACTCGGATAAGTTACTATCTCGGACTGCAATGCCCAGAATGCTGCCCCCCACAACCTGGGAACACGAAAACCTGGCGGAAGACAGTAGATGGGCAAAAAGGCTTCCATCATTATAAACAAGTTGGAACATATCTGTGGCTCTCCCCAGGGTGATGAAATTGCACTAATAAGCAGGAAACATTTCTCCTGGAGAGTGAAAAAAAAATCCTTAATGCAATTCTCCATCTGACACTTAAATTGCTTTGGACTTCCTCATCGAGCAATTTCTCTAGTATAATCAGTTTCTAAAAAAGGTAAAGGTTCCCCTTGACCATTTTTGTCCAGTCTCGTGTCCGACTCTAGGTAAGTTACTATCTCGGACTGCAATGCCCAGAATGCTGCCCCCCACAACCTGGGAACACGAAAACCTGGCGGAAGACAGTAGATGGGCAAAAAGGCTTCCATCATTATAAACAAGTTGGAACATATCCGTGGCTCTCCTGGGGGTGATGAAATTGCACTAATAGGCAGGAAACATTTCTCCTGGAGGGTGAAAAAAAAATCCTTAATGCATTTCTCCTTCATCTGACACTTAAATTGCTTTGGACTTCCTCACTGAGCAATTTCTCTAGTATAATCAGTTTCTACCCCAGCTCTTATTCCGTGACTTGCTTCTGCGCGTTGAAGCCTTTCTCTCAGATAATCTTCTGTCCATTCAAGTTTACTGAGTTTCTTTTGATCTTAATTCAGTTGTCATGGTCCGTGAATAAAACAAACCTAAACACTGCCATTACATGTTTTTTTTAAAAAGACAATTCAAGTGCATAGAATATCCACAGGATCAGTATCCACAGATTAATGGTCTGAATTTTTTTTAAATCCAGAATTTTCACATGTATTACCAGAACCGGCCACTAGAAGGAGCCAGAGAGCATGCTATACATAACATGGTCTCTGGCACCCTCTAGTGGCCAATTCTGGCAATACATGTGAAAATGTTTTTCTATTTTTTTCCTTTTGCCATGTTATTTATCGCAACCGTTCACTATTACCCACACTTTTCAGTCTCTGCGGTGAGGCTTAAAACCAAAACCCAGGAGATATGACTATTCAAGTCCGAGAGCTGCTTTGGTCCAAATCTGCTATAAAAGCTGCTTGAAGTTGCCACATTTCACAGCAAATTCCATTAATCCATAGAATCACAGGAATTGAGCCAAGGCAGCCATGGAGCCCAAATCCCCACCCAAGGCAGGAACCTAAATCAAAACAGATCACACAGATGGCTGTCCAGGAGCACTCGCCACCTCCCCCTGAGCCGTACTGCTCTAACAGGAAGTGTTTTTTTCTGATGTTCAACCGAAACCTGGCTGAACGTGTCTCTTGAGCCTAATACTGTGTGGCTGCGGAAAGGAGCCCAAAGCCTTCCTAAACCACAAGGAAAACACAAGAGGCCCAAAGTTCGTAAAAAACATTTATTGCCCCTCCCTCCCCAAAAGTTACAATTTTGAGCTCCGAGAAAAGCAAGAATTCCAAACACCCAACGGAACGACATCTCGTTTTGATTGTTTTGGCCCCTCTCCTCTCTGCCACCAACATGGGACAGCCAGCGGGGAGGCCGAGGACGAACCGGAAGAACGGCCAGGCCAAACCCCTTCCAACTCCCCGTCAGGAAGCGGCGACCCACTCTGAACTTCTAAACATGCCGAGCCGGACAAAAGAAAATCAGCGCCATCCCGATAAAGAAGTAAGGGTTAAAGGGTTAAAAAGGAGCTCGATGCTCAGAAAAAACACGTGAGGCTTCTAAAGTCAAGGAAGTTTCTAACGGCTCCAACATAAATAATTTTCAACAGATTACACAGAGAAGCACAACAAGAATTGAAGCTGGAAAAACCAACAGAGGCAGTCAGGGAGAACCCAAAGGAACCGAAGCATCAAAACACCCAATTTCTTTTTCCTTCTCCCCCACAGTTAACAAGGAGTCAGAAAAATTGGCTCTGCTTTTTTTTTTTTTTTGGTGGTGGTGTGGAAGTTACATATATCCACCCTTTTTAACCAGCAGTCACCCAGCAGGGTTCTGATGGCAGGCAGATGGAGTTAGGTAGTCTATACGATCATTTACAAGATTTTCTTTAATGATAAAAATTCCAAAGAATGCAAAAAAACAAAAACTTTCTGGGTTTGTCAGGAGAAAGAGGAGACAAACATCGGTCCCGCTTAATCCCCGCCCGCCCGCCCGCCTTCCGCACCCACTCCATTCC